CTAAGATCAATCAATACCTCCTCGTCTTCACCGTCGTAACCATAGTCTTCCTCCCGCCGTCATTCGTAGCTGTAAGTTTGCTAAACTCCCTCCCACTACCCTTTCATCTTTTTCCTATACCGTAATTTCCCTCTAATCGAATGGTACTATTGGACATTCTACGGCATGCACCTCTTTGACGGCGATGGAGACATTACCCAGACACAATACAATTTCTGGATCACCTTCGTCAGCGTTGCTCTCGCCACATACCTTTCAGCTATAATAGGCCTTTCTGGTGTTAACCAGCGCAAGGAGCTGAAGGAGTGGTTGGGTAAGAGGGCCGATGATGGTTGGAGTTGGCTTGGTGAGAGGCCCAAGGCGGATAACTCAGAAGCGGCAGTTGGTGGCGACAACCCGTCGACATCATCTAGGGTGCCTGATGATGAAGGTGAGGAAATTGAGGCCAACCGCAACAATCCTTTTACTCGGTTTCGACAGCGCAGGACGAGCAGGGACCTGGAAAAGGCCGATAAAGGGAAGATGCCAGAACGTATCAATTACCTCTATAGGGGGCTTACCTAACCTAGAATTTAGTACTGTATCGCCATGCATGATCACCCCCTTTTATCTGCCGTGCCCCTATTCACCAGTTCTCAAATACTACTAATGACTGACTAAGGCCATCGTACCATACTGGAATATACCCTATCCCATCATATCCTTTCTGTTGGGGAGGCGTTTTCAATTGTCGCGTACGGTCGACGGAAGTCAGTGCGGAACATACCAAGCACAGATAAGCTAATTTATCGTCCGGAGCGAATGCATATTGTTTATGGTTGGCCTCCACCTAGACCTGCAGCGCGACTATGATGTCTACCAGCGAGACGCAGTCTCAAGCTGAAGGTAACTTATCTCGAAGGTTAGGCTGCCTGAAAGTCTTACGTCTTGGCCTACGGGCGTCTTGTATTGTGATTTCTTTCCAGGGACTTTACTTTGATACTTAGTATCATAAATGCCGAGCATAACTACCGATCAGCGGGATTGGCACGCAGATTTCAAAGGCAGGGCTCCTGTGCTGAATAGTGCAGTTAGAGGGTGGTATGGATTGCCCCCCTTCAGCTGCGATACAAAATTCACTGGGGGGAGTACGACAGTATGCACGCACGTTTCAGCTCTCAATTTTCAAGCATTGGTTACCATTCTGGGAAAAAGGTACGGTACCTCCTGTCACTTCAATACAGCTCACAGCTCAATACCAACCGAGGGGCATAAGATGCCACACTCGCATAGCAGCATGGAGGCAATTCATTATAGCAGGAGTTCTGCATCTGTAGCAATCGTACTGAAGCGGTGAACCTAAGTACAGAAGAGCAGAGACACTTAAGTAGCAGGTATTTATTCCACCTACCGTCCGTCGCATATCACATCATTCTCTATCACACAAATTACGGCTACGCTTCACTTTTCCCTACTTTGCATAGGCTTTACTCCCGTCGAAGAGTACCTACACTTGAACAGATCGATTCATAGGGGCAATCTGAGTGGAAGCACAAAGTTTGGGCATATCCCTAGCTTCTATTTTATTATTATGATTACGATTGCTAACAAAGATAGGTATATAGCATAACGCCCTTCCGCACTTCACTTCCCACTTATCGCAATGGCACCGCCGGCATATTTCGGTACGTACCTTATTCATACCAGATTCCACTACCAAACACCTCTCTAACAACCCGCAAGACTGCGGCGCGGTATACGTCAAATACCACCCAGGGAAGCAGGGCTGGCACACGACAGTCAACTTCAAGACGAAGTTCCCGGGCAAGCCGATCGTCGTCGCCACGCCGGTCCACAACCACCACGTGGCTAATTGCAAGAACTGCGGCGGCTTCGTGCAGCAGTGGGACGACGACAGGAGGAATAAGAGCTTCTCTGTTGCGTTTGCGCTCGACGGGGTCCCGATTACTCAGGCCATTTTGGTTAATTGGATTGCTTGTCTGGCTGAGTGAGGAGTTGGAGTTACAGGAGTTACAAGAGTAGACTTATGCTGGCCATGGGCTATTGCTATGAGGTTGTCGGAGGTGAGATGTTAGGCTTCCTCGTTCAGCTTTCTAAATTGAGATTCTGTTTTGATTATTACACTTGTCAAGTCGCAGATTTCTGTGCAAGCGGCGTTTTCATTGGCTACCGACGTTGTACCCATCCAATGCTCTCAACGTACTGAAGTCATTGAAACAGCTTGTTCTATATAGAATTCGCATTATAACAAGTGCGCTAACCACAGGAACTTCAGGCAACCTAACGGATACTGAGCCTAGAGACCTAAAGTACCACCTATACATCATGAGTAAACCACCGCATCTATCATCTACCTACCTAGGTAGGTATTCTCACATTACACATCTACCTCCTTACTCATCTACTTATCTACCGCAGCGGCAGTGTATGGCCCCGAGAAATGGTTGAATATATACAATCGTTTTCCTCCAACCAACCATTCAGTTGGAGAGGAATCATTTTCCCTACGACAACGGTATTTTATCAAAAAACGGTAATAGCTTCTGTATTTTTTTTTTAATTTTATTTCTTCTACTTTCTACAGACTACGCGGCTACAAGGGCTACAAGGGCTACAGGGGCTACTATTTACACCTACCTACAGAACCTGGAGACCTAGAAGTAGACCTGGAGAGACCTGGAGAGACCTGGAAAGACCTGGAAGACCTGGAAGACCTTGGACCTGGAGACCTGGAAGACTTAGAAAATTTCAAAGACTTTAAGAAGTAAAAGGAAAGGATAGAAGCCAGGTCGAGAGGAGGGAGGAAGACCTTATATAAGGCAGGTGGTTACACAAATACGCGTAACGCGTTTACAGCAGCAACAATAATAACAACCTAAAACAGTAATAATTGCAATATCATTGTCCTGGGAGAAATCGTTGTCATAAAATCAATCATTATATGCAATTCAATCGTTTCTCACATCTACATATTGCCGCTATGGTACTCATCCCTTCTGCCGAGCCTTAAACCTCTCCTTAAAACCACCTTACGCATTATTTTCCCTCCTCATAGACTCTTCCAACTGCCGTCGCCTGACCTCCTGAGCTCGTAGAATAGCTTCAACACCCACTGTACGGTACGCAATACACGCCAAATCCAGGATAGCGCCGCGAAACTCTTCATACTGGGCTTCACCAGTCTCTATCATAACATACTCCTTAATATGCGGCTCTAGAGTTCTCGCCACCTCCTGGCCGAACTCACCAGCTGGGGTATACAAGAGTGGGCATTCGAGGCCATCGACAATGACCCTAGCGCGAAGCACGCCAGGTTTGGCTAATTGGGTCGCTATGACCTGCCAAATTTTGCCGTGGAGAGTCGGGTTGCGTCGGTAGAGGTCTCGTAATGCCTGAGTTGCTAGGAGATCTTCGCCGGTTTGCGGCTCGGTCTGGTGGACGTGGGACGGTGTGTTTCGGCTGGGTGAGTTCGGTCTAGGCTCTGACCTAGATGTTCTGCCCGGAGTAGGGCCTGGGTTCCCATGATGTGGGCAATGTGAATTGATCGAAATTCGAATTTCTGTGGGCGCTACCGAAGACGCAGCATATGAAGAAACAGGACCTGGCAATTCTTATAAGTTTAGTCTCCAATGATTGACTTATGAGTATACCTAAGGTCCACACTAGACTCGTAGCAATAGGCACAAAAGTAGGCGCGGGTACCAGGATGGGAGCTAAGATTGGGGCTGGCGGAGGAACTGGTATAGGTGCCGGTGCTGGAGCTGACACAGGAGTTAGAACAAGAGCGTTTGGAGGAGGATGCTGCCAAGGGACCGGAGGTCCACAAGTGGTGGCTTGAGGCCGGTATGGAGATAGAATTAGAAGTTGGTGAGACATGTTCAAAATTAGAGGTATGACTTCCAAGTTTGGGACATGGCTTGATGGGGTTCTGAAGAAGGAAGGAAAACGAGAAGATACCCTTGAATTGAAGACTTCGGCTTATATTTGGGACCTAGCTATACTGGCAGGCCATGTTTTAAGGGTCATTTGCTTGACTTGACTTGTATAGAGTGTCAGAATCGACGATATTATATATATCCTAAGTTAGCACTCGTGTCTCGGTGCCCACGTCAGGGAACAGGACACAGATGAAGCTATTATTTGGCATTGAGTCATATAATGAATTCATTTAACGACTAGAGAACTCTACCGTAAAATTAGGTCACCAAATCATTGTCCTCGTCGAGTCTTAAAACTGACGAGGGACTACATACACAATGCACGTTATTATGCGGCTAGGCTGCAAGGCGCCCAACCAATTTGCCGATCAGATGAATCTCCTTTACCTATTAGCGGTAGCGACTTAGGGTGAAAAGACTTGACGCATTTATGAAGGTCTAAGCAGTTATGAAGCTAGTAATTATGTAATAGTCCTGTTTGAACAGAGCCCCTTATGTCCCCACGTGTATCCATTCCAGCAAAGCCTCCCATCGATGATGTATATTGAGGGCCTCTCATATAAGGTATTGATAAAGCCGACGCTAGGAAAAGGGAAGACCAAGAGATCGTGGTCAATACCTACTGAATGGTGTGATGAATTTGAAAGGTACCTAGTCAGGATAACAACGCACCTGTTTTATATGATATTAAAATCTAGCAGAGTACTTATGAGAGTAATCAAGCCCTCGAAGATGGAGAAACATCCATAATGAGTCCGGTCGCCGAAAGGCCAGTATTGACTTTGAATCATTTGAAGCCTTCACGACTGAGCCCGTCTTTGAAAAGGAGGTGGCTAAAAGGGATACTTGTGGCTGGTGACTCTGCAAGTCACGTGATCATCACGGACCCTTAAAGGTGCCAGCAAAGAATAGCTGGGGAGTCAAAAATCGGGCAATCAAAAAGAGAACTGGAATGCAATCAATATACCATGGCAAATATTTCATTGATTAAAATGACAAAATACCTATTACTACACGACCATAAAGAGCATTCAAAGTTGAAAAAAGCCAAAAAAGAAATTGCGACGCAGGCCTGATTCGAACAGACGCCCCCGAAGGGAATAGATGAGCTAGAGACTTCCGAAGAAATGTTCTAGTCTATCGCATTAGACCACTCTGCCACTGCGCCTTACATCGAAACCTTTTTGGTCCGATTTATGACTTTCTGGCGGCAATTGGGTATTAAGAGGTTTTTCCAATACGCCCAGCTTATTGGCTCAATCTAAAATGGATTATTTAATGAAATAGCATCATCCAAAAAGCTCCGTTTTCTCAATATTGGAATTATTCGTCTTTTTCAAAATGTTGGAGGACGGATGTAATTTACTGTGACTTAATATTATCGTGGTAAAGACCTGCATTGGTCATAGGCAAATAAACACGATATCAAAATCGGTAACTATCGTGATTCGATCTCCATTGCTGTAGACCTAACTATGAAATCCCAACGTTTACTCAGCGTAAGTCTATGGCGATGCATGTTGCATTCATTCATCAACTTGACTTTGTAGACTTCAACTCGGGGCATGCATAATTGATGCTACTTCTAGTATATCCGTATGGGAGATATTAACTCCCCTTCTGACTGTACCTAGCATCGCGATGTATTCTTCCACTCCGTACGCCTATCGTAGTAGACTCAGGCCGAGAGTGCAATATAGACTAGCACATCTGCTATCCGGCGTAGAGTGCATGCAATAAAACGCGACCGTTCTGCCATAACAGCCTAGCTTATCGCCTATCGCATGACATCTTGAAAGTAGCGCAATCATTCACCCAAACCTCTCCCTAGCAATCCGTTTCAGCACCTCCATAGTCCCCTCCTCCTTCCTCCTGTACTCCCTAACCCTCTCCTCCCTCTCTCTCTCCCTCGCCCTAACCTCCTCCTCCCTCCTAACCTCTCTTTCCGTCTTCCTCCTCTCGGCCACAGCCTTCATCCTCTTATACTCCGCGACACCATCCCCTCCCCCCATAAGCTCCGCCTCCGCAACCTCCGCTCCTCCCCCCGGGGACCGCTCCCGGAACGCGCGCATCTTGTCGTTGACCTCGCGCTTCTTCTCTAGCTGGCGCTCGCGCGTCCCGGGTTCGGCGCGCGGGACTAGATCTTCGAGCCGCGCCTTTTGTTCCGCGCGGTCGGCTTTGCGCGCTAGACGTAGCGCGTCGATGCGCTTGAGACGCTCTTCCTCTGCGGTTTCGCGGCGCAGGTCTAGGTCTTGGAGGGAGGGTATGCCGGGGCCGTGTTTTGCGGTGGAGCGGGTGGGGGCTGTGCCTGGGGGGAGGGTTGGGCCGTATTCATCGTCTTCTTCGTCTGAGCGTGGCGAATCGATATTACCGCCATCTTGATCTCGTTCACTGAGTGGCAGCGACGATGTGCTCTCTAAACCCCCTTCCTTCCCAGTAACACCTGGATTCGGGATTGCACCAGCGCCAGCACCGGCATGACTCTTCCTCGCCTCCTCGAGCGTCTCGGGGCGATACCAGCCCTCAGCCAAATCGCCATGATTCCACTTGCCCATGAAGCTCTTCCAACGACCCCTGATCTCCCTCTCGTCCATTTCCGCAATATCCTTGCGCTTCTGCAAGTCGAGGTATTGCGCGAACAGCGGTTTGAATGTCTCAAGGTCGGAGCGGACTAGTGGTCGCGCGCCAAAGGGGAGTTCGTCTGGGGTGCGCGTGGAATGGTGTGAGGAGAGGCGATGTCGGTGGTGATGATGATGATGGTGGTGGTGGGAGGAATGACGGTCATGGTGTCGGCTCGAAGAAACTGAAGGAGAGCGCTCGATGACGCGGTGGTCGACATGGGAGTCGTGGGGATCATGTCGGTTCGCATAGTGTGCTTCTCTCCCATCTCTTCGCGATGAAGTATTCTTCGATTGTGACACGTAGTCGCGTTGTTCAGAACGTCTCCTCTCATCACGACGCGCTCTATCCCGCGGCGACCTTGACCTCTTCCTCTCATAGCCATAATCATAATCGTCGTATCTCCGCCTGACACGTTTCACATCCTCCTCCTCTTCCCCTTCCCCACGCGTTCGCTTGTGCCTCGAATGACGTCCCTCCTCATCCCCAAACCCGCGGTCCCGGTACGCGCTAGGTTCCGTCATGATGCAACGGTAAGCAGTCGCGTTTCTGCCCTATAGGATAAATTAGAGGCGCGATCTGGTAGGATTACCTGTGCGTCCGAAGCCGCAGCGGAAGAGAGGCCCCTGGCGCTGTTGTTTCCTGGGAAGCATAATGGTGTTTGGTCGTACAGCCTAATAGGTAAGCTGCGGATCGTGCCTTAAAAGTCTTGGGCAAGGTGGTAGCAGCAATCTCCATGGATGTCGGAGATTTTCCCCCTTGCCATGTGGCGTGTGGGGTCTGACTAAGTAGCTGTACTTACATACCTTAAGGAGCTGCCCATCAAGGTTCTCGCTTTCACTATACCTGGGTACATTCAATTCAGGTACCTATAATCTTTTATTACAGCTCTTTATGCATTGGAGATCAGGGTAACATGCTCCTTAAGGCTACGGAATTAATAATTGTCGCTCGATAAGGGCTTCTTTCATTTTGCGAATACATGTACTCCCAATGCAAACCTTACAGTAACCTTAATTTCAGCATTATAAGACAATGCCCTTGAAGGGCACGGTGAGGCTATAACATATCCAACTTCACAATCTGGCAAATATTTCTACGGCTTTACTGATAATGGTTACACGTGAAGCAGGGAGGAGAATAAACTAGTTGTCTTCGCGCTAACATTATATTCTGTCGCTGTACTACCTAATCGGTATGTATTGAAGCAGCCCTTATATATCGGGGTAACTTGAGTAGAGAGAGTAACTCAGCCAGATCAGCTAAGTTCTGATTTGTATATAATCACTTGGTATCAATTCGTATCTCTTCAATCATGTATCGGGCATCTGCCGCATCGTAAACTTCTTGGGTATTTCCGGTGGTCGAACCCGACTAAGCAGGACTCGCTGTGCTCTCGCTCTCCTGCGAGAGACGCTAGAAAAAGTATGACTGAGGTCCTAGTCGTATGGAAACCGATGTAGGACGCACGCAGTCAGAAGCTGGGTTCTGCTCGTCGAGCTCAACCAGGCTTCCCCTCTCGACGGAAAGACGTCAGAGAAGCCGATTGGAGCCCGACAAGTACAGAAAATCCCCACCCAGAGCGGGTATACCCGCGGACAATTGTCCATCATTTCATCGAGAATATCGGCTGCTAAACCCCAAAACGCCCCGTCGAATTCGCAGTCGCGATGGCCGTCTTTCGATTCAGTCGACGCGACGATTCGACGTAGCCCGCTCAGTTTCGCTCGGAATCTTGTTCCTGTAATTTGAACACTCGCTATTTCCTAGGAATCCTCGGTCCCTAAATATATACACCCTCATTATCCCTCCTAGGTATATACGATTCAAATGCTCGATTCTCAGGGGGCTCCGGCCATCATCCTTGGGGATATCATCCGATCTATCCATCTATCGTTTCCAGCAAAGACGTTGTTTTTGTTCGGATTGAAATATGTATTGGAGAAACCGTCCTCATTCAATTGGGCGTCTTATCCTGAGGTTCACCATTTAGAGGATCACGATGGATCATGCAGTTGACACATGCGCAGTTGTCGCCACATCCGCAAATGCCACTACCATAATCCACGAAGAGATACTCGCTGGGCGACATATGCAAATCATTCGCGCCGGGCGAATCCGTGTCGGACGGACTTTGTGTTGGTGTAGGCGATGTGTCGATCACCGCCAGCGGCGGATCTGGCATTTGATGAGTAGTGTCCACTTTACCGTTGCCATTAGCATTGCCATTTACGTGCCCATTCATACCGCTCATGCCATTCAGATTCGCTTCTTGGAAAGCCATGGCTTCACGGATATACTGAGTTGTTGTTTGATTGTACGGGTGGGCGAGACATCCAAGACAGTCACAGTCAGGACCACAGTCGCACACGTGAGTAGTATATGAACCCATGGAACCTCCATTTGGTTGGTTGTGAGGTAGAATCTGCGCCATCTGCGCCACGAACTGCTCATATTGAGCTGGCTGAAGCGGAAAATGGGGTGTTCCGAAGGCAGAATGGTCTGAGAATAGGGGTTGTTGCTGGAAGTGGTTTATCGGGTACATCTGTTGGTCAGCTGCTACTCGATTGGATAATGACTCCATCATGGAGCCATTCATAGAGCCATTTCCCATGGGGACTTGAGGTGTATATCTCATCATATTGGGCGGCTCTTGGGCGGGGGCCTGGAGTTGACCTTGTAATTGCATCTGAGGTGGTAACTGTTGGGGGTGCTGGACTCGTTGAGAACAGCAGCTTCCGGCTCCTTCCAAGGGAGATTCTTGCGTCGGTGCGTCTCCGGTGCTCGAAGTTGGCGTGTGATAAGCCGAACTCGATGTACCAGGTGTTAGTGTTCCAGAGCCAACGGTCGAGTGGTCGGATATCCACGTGGGATATTGCTGGCCATTCGGTAAAGGCGGAGCAAAACTCGTCCAATCAGGTGAAGTTACTGTGTTCGCAGAAGCTGCCAGGAAGTCACCAGCGCCATTCTGAAAATTGAGGCTGTTGACGTCCATACGCTGTAGGGTAGACGCATCAGACTGCTTTCGAGGTGGTCTTGGGGCAGATTTCTGGACTCGGAACGACGCCTGTTTCGTAGGCGATAACGGCGGATTATCTGACGGCTCGGCCTTAACGAGCGTTGGTGTGCCATTCGTCTTGTTGGTCTGGCTTCCGCCGCAACGACATGTGCCTCCTTTAGGCAGCGCAACCGTCAAATTCCGGCACTGACAGGTCTTGCCTGGTGGATGAGGACAAGTGCTTAACGGTCGACCAGGTTTTCGCACGGGTACTAACATGCGATCCCCGTTGCCATGAGTGCACTTAGTCGATCTGTGCCCTCGGATGCATGGCTGACTAAACACGGGAAGAATAATCGGTTAGCGAAGACAGTTCAGACTGGTTCAACCTCATCAAGATATCCAAGACCCATGTCAGTTACACGAACTCCTAATGTCGAATAGGGATGGTTTGCCAGGAAAGGCGCATCAAAAACTAGCGTGACAACATGCAGCCTTCCGAGACTCCCCGGGAGGCACCGGCAAACAGAAACGACGAGGGAATATGTTAA